TGTCAAACTGTGATCCTCCCAGTGTCTACCTCCCATGAGCTAGGATTGCAGGCACGAGTCACTATGCACTGCTATAACTGTGCTTTTAAAGGAACACAAATTATGTCTTTGTATAGGTAGTGATAATAATTTTTAAAGGCAGTTTTTTGTGTTTGAAAGATAAAATTATAAATATTATTTTGTAATAAAACCTGGTAACTTCATAACTAGTGAACTCATGCATACCAATATGACTCCTTCATTCAGATTAATATTCAAATGATTTAATAAAGTTATTATAGACAAAGCCTTCTAGACTAATGAAATAAAGCTCTGGATATACTGTGGAGTTAGCAATTATTTAAATAATTTCATTAGATGTTAAACATTAGCACAATGCAGGTTTAAAGTCTAAGGTCAATTTTACTTTAGGAGAAAAGTGATGGAAAAGCTAGAGAAGTAATTTTTGAGTTTGATAAGAAAATGAAAGGTTAAATTAAAGGGCTTAAATACAAAGTCCAGAAGTCATATAATCTCTACAAAGTTAAGAAGGTTATTTTAATCAACTGCTTCAAGTAAAACTAATGGAGTATTCTGAATCTAAATGCCGCAAAAAGCAATATGCTCAAATTTAGATATGAACTATCAATTTACCCAGGATTGCACATGAAGATATTTTTGAAGCAAGAGACAGCACGAGGAGATTTTATTCTTGATTCATTTTGTGTTTGACTTGCTGGCATGAATTATTTCTAAAAATCCCAACTTTGGAGAAATTGCTACAAGCTTTGGGTTTCTGAAGGATGTGTGAAACGCAGAGCATGTCACATTATCATTCCAAATTCTCATCAGCGTGGTCATGAGCTAATAGAGTGACAAAGTTCATATGACGCATTCGTGCTTGTCAGTGAAGAGAAATCACTGCCCTAGGTGGCAAAATTTTCCCTATGATAAACATACGCTCCAGGAATAAAATATATTTTGCCAAAAGTAACATTACTGATAACCAATACAATCATCAGTAGCAAGAACACTTCAGCACGTTCACTCATATCTTCCTTTCTGAACTTGAGAAGAGGTTTATAAACCTAACTTCTCTACCTCATTAACTTTTCCTGTACCCTTGTGAGGTAAGCATTTATTAGTGCTACACTAAATATTAGCATTAACTGAGTTGAACCATGGTTGTAAATATTTAGGGAGAAATTAAATGAAAGCTCCTCTTGGTTAGATATTTAACATGGGAGAAGTGGGCTACAAGGATAAAGAGCAAGTAGCTGCTCAAATCCATTAGTGATTCAAATGAAAATTAGAGAAAAAACTGATATCAGTGACTTAAGTGAATAATTTTATGACCAAATTCTAGTTACATTTAAAGAACAGATTTGACTTGATGTCAGGCTAATGAAACTTACTACAGGGATGTTGCTGAGAGTGCTAGATGAAGCTACAAGTGAGAAATGTGAGAATTTGTCGAGAGATTTTCTTCCTTTAAGTGGGAGGAAACTAGAGTTCTTTCCTTTGACTTTTGTCTGTTTGCTTTGAACACTAGGAGTCTCAAGGAAGTATTTGCTTCTGCCACAAACATTATCATACTTTTAGACATACCATACCTTGACCTCTAATATCCAATATATTTCTCCTGGTTATAATTACTTACCCATATCACTTATTGAACATAGATTTTATATACCAACTTAAAGGTAGAGATTAAGCATGCTAAAAGATATCTATTATACAAGTATACATTTGCATTCTGTATTTGTGGATATATAGGTTAACAAGTGAATAGACACAAAATTTTGCTTTACACTTGTTTAATTTTCTCTACACTACATACACCTTTTGCTTTTCCTTCATTGGCAGGTAAAAGTACCATCATTCATCTCCTCATCACCATTCTCAGCAAAATTCAGGACCTATGATAGTGATGTCTGCATTTCTTTTGCAAAGGGTGGAGGTTAGGACAATGTCTCACTCCATAGCCCAGGCTGGCCTTGAACTCAAGATCCTCCTGCCTCACCTTCCCAAGTGATGGGACTAGCAGTGTGGGCTCCCAAGTGTGGCTCTTGTCAGCTTTTGATAATGGCCACAGTCATTTTTGCCCTATCTCAAATGCCCACAGACAATTTAGCCTTGTAAATCTTTACTATAAAGCCTCCAATAAATAAAGAAAATGTGATAAAAATAATTATACACTAAAATCAATTTTGATCTCCAAATTACTGATTTAGAAAGAGCCCCAATGATCCTTCAACTGTTAATTTACAAAAGGAAAATCAAATAAATGGCTTTATTAACTAAATTTAAACAATGGGAAGAAATGTAGAACACTCGGATGGTATTCTTATTTTTCTTACTAATATTTTTATATATCACATAGGTGTTCAAAATTGAGAATAAATTTGTGGTTGTTGAGGCAGATGCATGAAGGTTTTATCTTTCAGTGGAGGAACAGAAAGTCAGGTTTGATATGCCATTAAAAAAACAAATACATGAGAATAAGAGAAGATGGAGTGCTATGAGAGTTAAATTAGAGGTATCATGTGTAAAAAGGATTCCTGTTTTGTAGTGCAACCCATGTGTTGCTTACAAGGATGAAATGAGTTCATATGTTTAAAATATAAAGCACTGCTGAACACACATGTAAGCACTCAGTAAATATAAGCTGGAAATGCAAATGTGAGACCTTAAAGATGGTTCTTAAAATCTTATTAATTGGGTTTAGCTGTAATACTATCCTACTGACCATCATAATTTGTTTTTTGCCATCTGATATGCACTACTATCATGTGGAGTTTCATCTCTGTAACAAAATGTTCACTGCAAAGGACTGAATTTGTGCTAGGTTTTGGAAAGGGGCAAGCAGGGGACCAATATATGATTAGTGGAAAATGAAAATATTTTAAAATATATTTCTGGGAAATCTATGAAGGAAAGTTGCCACTTGGTGCTCCAATTTCACTTCACTTTTCAATATTCTCACGTCCTCTTAGAAGATCCTTTCTTTCCCCCTTAGCTCCCTAATCCTTAAATTTCACCAATTCCCAGAATTCTTTAGCATCCCTACTTTCAGTTAGATAGAAGACAAAACAGGTTGCTCAAATTTTTATGCTTTCTACCACCTATAACTGTGTTTTCCCCAAAGACCACTCAGAAAAAAAAGGTATATCAAACCCTAAAAGATTTATTTTTTAATATCCTAAGTTAAACATAATATGACATCTAGACAGAGTACTAATTTCAAGGCAAAAGTGACTTGCCATTTGTGGGTAACTGTGTCTTTCTACCAGATGTGTTAGATTCTTTTGGTTATCTAACCTATGTATTGAGTTAGGTAGATTAGTTATGGAGAGGGTTGGAGCCAATGGATGCACATATATGTCTATCAACAATATTTAAGGTAAAATAAGCAAATACTGATCTTGACAAAGTGGAGAACAGCTTTATGCTAAACCATCAAGACAGTGTTTCCAATGCTTGGTCTTTGAACTGTAAGTGGGGCCCAAATACTGTATGACCTTCTTTTCCTCAGAATCAGCTGGGTTTAGGTAACTATCTGATAGTTGTCAATGGTCTTTGCATAAAACATAGGAAGCCACAGTCATTTGGACACTAGGATCTTCCAAAAACAGATTTATACTCTAAGTCATGCAGAAAAATTGGCTGCTACTGTAGGAAAAAAAAATGATATATAGGTTATTGCTAACTGGTGTACTTATATCAGGGAAAATAGACCTGAGCTATTGGCAACTAATGTCTCTATATCTGTCTGGATAATACTTCTCTCATGAATACAGGGCTAATTTGAGGGGTTACGTGGTTTAATAGGTTACTTCGCTAATTTTGCATACTGAAAAGTATCACTTTCTGTAATATACTACATATTATTATCTAAAATAAGAATAGTGTATTTAAGCTACTGTTTTGGTATCTTTTGCACCTGTGATGTGCCTAACTGAAATCTTTAGACAAAGCTATTTTAAAGATAGTATGCAGATTTTTTGAGAGTCTATCTCAGTGCCCTCCAAACTGATCTGTTATCAATCTTTTTCTTCTTTATATAATTCTCTTACAGTGTATCTGGATTCTAGGTTAAACAGAAATGATATATGACAGAGATTCCATAAAGCACGAATCAATTATTACATCTTCAGACTATATTTTAACTTAGAAAGACCATTGTATGATAGCTTAGTTAGCAGTAAGTTACATATATTAGGACAAGGATTCTTGGCCCTCCATTTTTTAAGAGATTGTGATTCTCAAGAATTTAAATTTAAATAGGATTACTAACTATGGAATAGTATTAACCCTTTTCACACGGTAGCCTGTTTTCAGTTTGGTATAAACCGTCTCCTTCCGTTAAAGAATTTCAATTTTGTTTTTACAAAATGAATACATCTAGTTAATCAGATATATGATCTACTTCAGAGACCATTTATGTTCTAGTGTACATGAAGTCATGCATCAATTTAAATGCACCAAGTGATTGTGTCATTGTGCGGCTGTAACATTACTGGGTAATATAAGCTGACAAGGGCACCGTCGTATACACACTTGATCCATACGTAGAGATTTGGTGTGTGGGGGGGGAGTGCACACGATCTATTTTTCATTACAAAATTGGGATACATGGGAGCCACAGCAAGAATCTGAAATACTGTTTGAGAGGCACTTCGTTGGTTACTTAAGTATAAGCGTAATTGAGAATATTCTCTCTTACGTTCTGAGAATCGACAGAGAACAGGGATTATGATAGACAGGACACAAGCAGATGATAACATTTACAAGCTTGATCTGCCTTTATGAACAGGATTTAAACTCCCAGACTCAGATACTTGTTGGAAGACAGCAAATATTTCAGGCAATTTCAAAATACCCCAGGAAGAAATGCATTGTTTACATTGTTTTAGTTCTTTCTGTGGTTTTAGCACTATTTTTAAACTCAAACTTTGTTTTTACTTTAAAGTTTAAAAGTGTACATGTGGATATAATATGAAAAATCATGTTTTACTCACAGGCAAACTGAAGTGTAGCTTCTCTACTAAGAATACTTCCAAAAGTGTTGGTTGCTAAGCACTGATAAAGGCCGGAGTCCTGGGCCTCTGTGGGGTCGTTGATGATGAAGGTGCCATCTATCAGACTGTAGCGATAGTCACTTTCCAAATCTATTTCTGTCCCGTTCCGAAGCCATCTTAGGAAAAACCAGAAGACAAAGATGTAGAAGCTGCTTGAGAAATTAAGATACTCCCCAGGAGTGTCAGAATCGCATAGGAATTTTTTAGGACTTAGGAAAACTGATTGACAGTGAATTTCTACCTGTATGTGGGAACTGGGTTGCCACGAACTTCGCAATTCAGTACGACCTTCTTTTCCTCAGAATCAGTTGGGAAAATGATGTCATCTGGTTCTTGAACAAATACTGGCCCGTAGTCCACACTTTCTGTAAGAGCCGAAGGATGCACTTTAAAACACTTTAAAATTCTTCAAAATAGCAAGACAGTCCCCTCATCACACACTGTAATTTACATTTAAAAACCCTTGCCTTTGCTTTGTGATAAACAGGCAAATTTCCAAATAAGGTAGAGCTAACAAGCTACATTGCTTTTAGCAGATCTTAGAGACCTTATTGACTAAAAATGTGTTTAAAGATACGGATAAATGTAATGGCAAAAATAAAATCTCAAACATTGGTGTATACTTTCAAGGTGTATTTCTGTTTGGATCTTCTAAAGCAGACCTAAATGAAATGAAACTACTATGAAAAACAACACTGAAAAACTTAAAAATTTGTAAAACTCCTTTTTTTTTTTTTTTTTGGAAAGGGAATCTATTATTCACAATTGTGCTGGGAGTACATTGTGGCATTTGCAAAAGTTCTTACAATACACCAAATATATCATATTGAATGCACCCCTCTATGTAAAACTCTTAGAATGTTAATAATATATGCTAAAGAGATAATACAATGCCACTGAAAACTATAGACATGTAGATGTTGCTTCTTTTTTGTATTCTTTGTGCATTCCTTCACTCATTCACTCAAGCACTATCTATTTAGTGCTAATGAGGTTGGAGTGTGAAGAAAAATGACTTAATACCAATAAACATTTTCATGGAATAAATGAAACATGTCCTTACGAAAGCAAAACAGCTGAATTAAAATGTCAAAACTATATATTTATTAGATGTTTGATGAATATGTAAATATAGTAAATAAGGACAAATTACATGCAAATATAGGGCTGTTGAAATCTAGAACGTTATTACAACTCTCATTCTCTTCCTCTCCTTCTACCGCTTACGCTGTAATATTTATAAAGCACTTCTATATTTATACTAAATAGTCACCTAATTCTCTGCGGTCACTATTAGAATTATTTGCAATAGAAAAATGAAATTTGAGGTTCTCAGAGGAGACTCTGCAACATTAGTCACACGGTAAGTAGTTGATTTTTTAGATTTCTCTGGGTTTTCTTCTTATGTTCTGGAAACTTCCAAAATACAACAAGAGAAATGTCTGTCAGGCTTAGGAAAGCCAGAGGGGTAAGGATTGCTAAACTATGGGCTGAGTGTGAAGGGAGCATTCTGCATAGCACATATTCCATCATGACTATCTCCTGTAAGGCACCTGTTTGTTAATCATTGTCCGTTCTTAAAGCATTTTAGCAGTGTTCAGACTTTCCATTAACCTATTTGTTGCTACTAAGCAACCCAACCCAGATGACAGCAAAAAGAAATGGCAAATTAAAAAGTAAAGTACTTAAAATGCCAAGTTAAACAACCTTTATTTTCTTCCTCCTTTTTTCTTTGAGATGCAAAGTTTATTGTTGGGAGTAAAAAAGCACATATTTATGTAGAACTTCCCAGTCCCCAGTTAGGCATAATCAGTGATGATCCTATTTCAGGAAGAGATCAGTTTCTAAAGCTTTATAGCAAGACATATTACAGATGCACGAGAGTTTTGATCCACTCTCCATGGGAGTGAATTCCATCCACTGATCATAATGGTGCACTGCTTAAAGTCATGTCCTGCCACTTCGTTCCTTTTTAGCTTGATCGAATCTGCAACTTGTGAGACAGACTTCAAAACCTTTATGACAGTAAGTCATTGTGAAGATCTTCAGAACCAAAATATTAAATCTTTTAGTAGCAACCACGGAGACATTTGTATAATAAGCAGATGTCATTGCACAAAGTCAACTTCTCATGGGAGCAATGTTTTTGAGTGTTCCCTTTCTTTATCAGAATTTTTATTAACACATTGCAAGATATCCTTAGTTGGCAGCACCTATAGAGACAGTGGTTATTGCCTGGAAATGTCAAATTCATACCTCTAGAGGATTGCTTCAATTTAGAAGTGATCTGTTGATTCTCTGCTATCAACTATGATAAAAGTAAAACTTAGACTTCCCTTCATTGCATCCCATGTCTACCTCTTAATTTTATTTCTTAATTGTGGCTCAATCTCTCATTTATAGTTCTCATTATTATGAGATTAAATATTTATTATGTCTCCTCACCAGTTTTCCTTTACCAAGTGCTTTATCTTTTCCCTAGTGCAAAGCTCATTGTGCTATAAACCTTGTTAGGTGGTTAAGAAAATCTTATTTTTTTTTATAATTTAAAAATCTTTAAAATAGGACATATTTGTTGTACACTGTGATTCTCCGCCCCACTTAGAGGTTTCATTGTTCTAGTTCATGTAAATATATGAAGTCCATCAGCCATATACCTTTACCTTAATCTCCTTCATTCCCCCTCTCCCTTCCCACTAGTATTCCCCCTCCACACACTGTATTTTACAGTCCTATTTTTTGTTATTAATATTTAAGTTGATGTTCAAAGGGGTTTCTCAATATATCCCTGCTGTGCGTGTACTTTACTTTGGTCAGTTCAACCCCTTCCATTTCTCTCCCTTACCCCACCCCTCCCGCACCCATTATCCAACACCTTTCAGTACTCATCCTTATATCCTCTGCCTGCACAGGTGCTGTGTATTATGATATTGCTGATGCTCTATCATTCCTTTTTCTTTTCCCTCCTTCCCCAAGTACCATAGACTAGTACTATGGTACGATTACAAACATGTTCTACATATGCGTTTGTATATGATGTTTGTTTTTGTGTATATGATTATCTCTTGGACCTATCACATATGAGAGAAAACATGTGGCCTTTATCTTTCTGAACTTGACTTACTTCACTTAACACGATGCCTTCTAATTGCATGCATTTACCTTCAAACCACATGATGTCATTCCTCCTTATGGCTGAGTAAAAAATCTATTCTATAGATAAACCACATTTTCTTGATCCATTCATTAGTTGTAGGGCACTGGGTTGTTTACATAGTTTGGCTATTGTGAACAATGCTGTGAGAAACATTGGTTTGCAAGTGATTTTGGATATATGCCCAGGGACACTATCACGGGATCATGTCGCAGTTCTACTTACTGCATTCCATAATATTTGTACTAATTCATATTTCCACCAATATAGTCTGTAGGGTTCCACCCCCCCCCCCTTCCTCCCCGCTCTCCTCGGTCTGCCGGGTTGTCCGCGCCTCCCCTTCCTTACTCCTCTCCCCGGCAGTCCATCCCGCCATCCTCCAATGCACGCGTTTACCTACCCCCTGGACCACACAGACACTGCCAAACTCAAAAACCCTCCCCCCTCGCTTCTCACTCTCCACCCCACAGTTTCCATCCATTTCTCTCCCTTACCCACCCCTCCCGCACCCATTATCCAACCTTTCAGTTACTCATCCTTATAATCCTCTACCTGCACAGGTGCTGTGTATTATGATATTGCTGATGCTCTATCATTCCTTTTTCTTTTCCCTCCTTCCCCAAGTACCATAGACTATACTATGGTACGATTTACAAACATGTTCTACATATGCGTTTGTATGATGTTTGTTTTTTGTGTATATGATTATCTCTTGGACCTATCACATATGAGAGAAAACATGTGGCCTTTATCTTTCTGAACTTGACTTACTTCACTTAACACGATGCCTTCTAATTGCATGCATTTACCTTCAAACCACATGATGTCATTCCTCCTTATGGCTGAGTAAAAATCTATTCTATAGATAAACCACATTTTCTTGATCCATTCATTAGTTGTAGGGCACTGGGTTGTTTACATAGTTTGGCTATTGTGAACAATGCTGTGAGAAACATTGGTTGCAAGTGATTTGGATATACGCCCAGGGACACTATCACGGGATCATGTCGCAGTTCTACTTACTGCATTCCATAATATTTGTACTAATTCATATTTCCACCAATATAGTCTGTAAGGGTTCCTGTTTCACCACATCTTGGCCAGCATTTGTTGTTGGTTTTGCTCTTGAAGACAGCCATTGAAACTGGGGTGAGATGAAATCTTAGGGTAGTTTTGATTTGCATTTCTTTTATAGCCAGGGTAGTTGAAACCTTCTTCATGTATTTATTGGGCATTTGTACCTCTTTGTAGGAATAAATTTAACAAAGGAAACCGAAGACCTTTTCAATGAAAACTATAAACCACTGAAGAGAGAAATCAAAGAAGATGCCAAAAGATGTAACAATCTCCCATGCTTGTGAATTTGTAGAATCAACATTGTGAAAATGGCTGTACTACCAAAAGCAATCTACATGTTCAATGCAATTCCCATCAAAATACCAATGATATTCTTCACAGGGATAGAAAAATCAACCCTAAAATACACATGGAAACACAAAAGACCTTGAATAGCCAAAACAATTCTGAGCAAAAGTCCAATGCTGGAGGGATCACAATTCCCGACTTCAAACTATAGTACAGAGTCATAACAATAAAAACAGCATGGTATTGCCACAAAAACAGACATGAAGATCAAAGGGTTAGAATAGAAGATACAGACACAAATCCATACAGCTATAGTCAACTGATTTTCGATAAAGGACCCAAAGTACACAATGGAGAAAAAGACAGCTTCTTCAACGAATGTTGCTGGGAAAACACGTAGAAGACTGAAATTAGGTCCCTGTCTCTCACTCTGCACCAATATCAAGTCAGAGTTGATCAAAGACCTTAATAATGGGCCTGAAACTTTGAAACAATTACAGGAAGTAGCACATTTGAACATAAAGTCGTAGGAATTCCAGTGGCTCAGAATCTAAGAATGAACAAATGGGATTGCATCAAACTGAAGCGCTTCTGCACAGCAAAGGAAAGTCACCAGACTCAAGAGACAGCCCATAGAATGGGAGAAAATCTTTGCCCGCTATTCATCCCACAATGGACTAATATCCAGAATTTACAGCATACTCAAAAACCTCAAACCCCAAAGAATCGACATTTCAATGAAGAAATGGGCACATGAATTGAATAGGGAATTTTCAAAGAAAATTTCTTCTTTTTATGTGTATTGTGGTTCTTGTGCTGTATTTTTATGTGATTAACATTCATTAT